AAACTCAGAGATCCCCACCTCTGCCTCCTGAGTGCTGAAGCTAAAGACATGCAGCACCATCACCTGACTGAAGTCTTTTGTGTGTGTGTATACATATATATATATATATATACATACATACATACATACATATATACATATATATATGAAATCCATTGGCTCCATTCTGCCTGCTGAGCTACTTGGATCATATTTTATTTGTCTTGGAAGCTGTTTAGTACCCAAGTGTCTGTATCCAGAATTTTTCTTTTCTTTTTTTTCCTTCCTGCTGCTACTTAGACCTCTTGGACTTTTCTCCTGGCTGGGTGGCTCTGGGCTCCCACAATGGTTCATCTTGACTGTCGGTTTGATTGGCTTTAGAACTGCCTAGGAGGCACACGTCTGGGTGTGTCTATGACGATGCTTCCAGAGAGGCTACCCGAGGAGGGAAACGTACTCTGAAGGGCAGTGGTCCATCTCACCAGCTAGAGACCCAGACTGGATCAAAAGCACCAGCATGCATCCCTCCTTGCTCAAGGACAGATGCAAGGCGATCAAGGACTTCAGGTCCCACTGCCAGGCCATACGCACAGTGCACAGATTCCCCCCTACCAGGCTTTGCCTCTGTGTCATTTTCTTCCAGATCTTCTTAAACCCACCATGGAGCTAAGCCATCCTCTTTCACTGTGTGATAAAACTATCTGTCCCCATATGGACTAAGAATAATCCCATGTGTTTAATTTCCCTCCGTGATGTCTGTGAAAAATTTTATGCCCCTCTACCTGTTCAGTATTGCAAACTGGGCTGGCCTTGAACTCACAGAGGTCTACCTGTCTTTGCCTCCTGAGTGTTGGAACTAAAGGTGTGAGCCACCACACCCAGCCAATGAAGTCATTTTTAAGCTTCTTACGAAAAATCCTCCAAATAGGTGGAACTATTTGATGAGCAAGAAGTGACAGGCAAAAACTGAAGATTGAGGGATGCTGACATCATAAAAGAACTCTGTGCAAGAAAGGCTCACACCTCATAGACATGGACAAGATTCTTACTAGGGACTGATCAGGGATAAAATACACACAAGTTTCTTGTGGAAGGCTGCTCTCTCCAGGACTCAGGAACCAGTATCCAAGATCTTAGACACTGTAGGTACCTTAATAAGACAGCTATTGATTTAAAAAAAAAATTGCAACATGTTCACAGGGAGGGTCTGGAGGCAGACACCACTATTTTATCTTGGGCCACAGATGAAGATGTTGTAGATCTAATTGTGCATATTTACCTGTTGACAGACTTCAGATTGCTTCATTTTGCTTAAAGAGACTTTGTTCAAATTATGCACGCCATACATGACACGGAGCCTTTGAACCACTTTAAAAACAGCTCAAAAACAATCTGCAAAGTATATTTTTTTAGAAATGCCATGTCAAAAAAAAAAAAAAAGAGGAAGTAGATGCTTACTCTGTAGGGAACTTAGGCCCCTGAAATAAGGAATAGAAACCCTTCTATATTCTCAACAGCCCTCTGGCTTCCTCAAGTGCATTTTACGCAGGGTTTGGAGGTAGCTCTCCAAAATATGAGCTGAGAGCTTCCTAGGAAAGCAAATCTTTCCCACATCCTTCCCTGCAGTTCCTCTTTAAGAGGTGTCAGCGTGGCTGAAAGAATGAAGTGGCTGCACATTGTCTGGCCCTGCCATTATGTGTTCAACATTTCCATAACAAAGGTGCCACTCGACTTCTCCCCGATTAATGCAGCTCCAGGGCTCTTGTCGCCTTTAATAAAACATTGTTGAAATCATTTATTTAGAGCCCCTGGTTACTAGTGGGAGAATGACCATCTTTGTGCCAAAATATAGTGTATACAGTCCACTATTTTGTAGTAGATCATTGTGTTATTTACAAAATCGATTAAACGGATGCCTTGGGGGGTATTGATGCTAACAGCACATTACTTATGTCATCGGGATAGTCAAGGGTGAACTTTGTCAACTCTCTCCCAGAAGCAATCTCTCAAACAGAATACAGTGATGTCCAACTTAACTGGCGCACAGTGAGCCCCACTGGAAACGCAGCCCGGGCCACACTGCTTGCATGAATCGACGCTCCCCACCATCCTCCCTGGAGTCCTGGGGGAAAGCCGGGTCAACTGACAGCATTCCCCACGTTTCTTGGTGTGAGGGTTCAGAAAACAATGGTGGCATGCTTTTCCTTTTCGAGCTTTGGAGAAGATACATGCTCGATACACGTTGGAGCTTTCACAGCGTGTCTTAACGCTCATACAGCCAAGTCCAAGCCAAGAAGCCGAGAATTTGTTGTATGTTTCTGGAAGTTCTCACGGCATTAGGGTTTCCTGATTTAGGATCCTGGGCAACACGGTTGGAAGGAGGTAAATGCATGAGCTTGAGGCAAATAAAGTACATGACCTCCCAACTCCATGTTCTGCTGTTTCCCTGCCACACTCTCCAGGGTAGGCAGGGATGCTATCCTGTCCTCATGCAGGCTCCACTAGAGACCTGTGGTCCCCTTGGGACGCATTAGAGACCGGTCGTCCCTTCACTAGGTGGCACTTGGGACCAGAAGCTGCTTTTATCCTCATGGATGACTGCAGGAGTTCTACTCTGAGTGGACAAGTTCCCTTCCCCAGGGCCATTTTCCCACTTCCCATTTGGGGCTTTCACGTGTACATTATTATACATGGTTAAAAACCAACAGAGACCTTATGCTATGCCCATTGTGATCATACACAAAAGCCTTGCTGTGTGCTCGGGTGAGCGGTGAAGCTGAGCCTCTTCTGGGTACTGTATGGCCACTTCAGCTCAATGAACTGCCCCCCTTGTGCGTAACCATTGTCCCACACTCCCTCAAACCTTTGTCACTGAAGGGCTGACAAAGACAAAGGAACCGGCACAGAGAATCACAACCTACTCACTGAGGAGATGGAAACAGCCTGGAGATAGATTAGACATGAAATCTAAACCCTGCAGCGCATGGGATGGGGGTGGGGGAACTTCCTGGAAATTCTCCAGAAAAGCCAAAAAAAAAAAGAAAAAAAAACCAAAACCCTACCTCTTCCTTTCATTAATGGCACTTCCAGGGGTCTCCAGGAGACATCTGAGCTTGCCGAATGTCCAGAATTCCAAAGGCCTCCCTAGAGACGCCGAGATATTGCAGATGTCAACATCTGTAAAAATCTTTTCTGTCTAGAATCGGATGACTGGCTGGTGGCATAAAGACAGCACACTCCTAAAGCCCCTTGCGCCCCCTCTCATCTCTGCAATCTGCCCTACAACGCAGGAGACCTGTCCGGAGGCTTGGGGACTCGGGGCTATGGTTCCTTGTTTCAATAGGTGGGCCATGGATCAATGTTCACTTTCTTCAAGGGAGAAAGCATAAAGCCACATCCCCTCCTGCCCAGACTAAGCTATGATGATTTATTCTAGGCAGATGCCTCTGACAGGACCCTGTAAAATCAAGTTGTGAGTTTATTGTAGCCGTTAATTGTCAGGTCTTTTCTGGCGCTGTCTAACTTACTACGGGGGGTGGTGGGGGGGACGACTCTGCCTTTTACCGTGACAAAGACTTAACTTTTAGTCAAGAATGTGTTAAAATAACCAGGAATGGAGAGGGTTTAAATATATTTAAGCAAAAATGCAGGAGTACTGCTAACCTGTAGTCCTTTTGTAAAAAAAAAAAAAAAAAAAAAGGGAAAATAAAATCTAATTTCCCTTTCAGCTGCTAGGAATATTCTGTTAGTCCCCCTTCCAATAAGACGCTGCTCTCGGCTTTGTTTTAACAGGTTTACTGAACCATTCAGATGACTTCAGTCTAATCGCACACCGCTCTCCTAGACTCCAGGCTGATATCTGGGGCTTTCTGGTACCACACATGGGGGAATCTTGCTTTGGGGGACATGAAGAGAAATTTGGACTCCCCCACTAATAGCTAGGAAAATAGAAAGAGACAAAAAAATTAGGCCTCAAAAGTAAAGGTGGGAATGCATGAGAAAGCACACAATTTGGTTAATTACTTACGCAGCAGAGAAATCTAGCTGCTTTCCCAGCCCATGCTAGTATCACATAAAGAGACATCAGATCTTGCTAATCTGTCGACCCCTCAGACAAAGTTTATTTGTGGTGACTTTTAAACTCCTGACTTGCCTTCCAATCACCGAGTTTAAAATGAAAAGCTTTAAATAAACACCAGGAATAGAAGATAAATAAACTTTTTCCCCCTCGCAAGTGCCTAGCTTGCCGAGGTTCAGGCTCAAATCCCCAGAGGACAGACTGCTCTCTTTTGTGTTAATGTTTAAAAGATTTTCCAACGCTGGAGTTTATTCCTACTGCAAACATCTCTGTTTACAAGGTCAAGTGTATCAGCACTCGACACAGCTTAAGAGCGTAATTATTTATGTAAGGGCGTTTGAGTGTGCATCAGGGGCTTGGCGGAAGCCCAACCTTCAGCCCACTGCTCAACAGCTCCTCAGGACAATATTACCAGTCCTGGTGATTAGTCCCCTCCATGGCGTGTTTACTTTTGCACGCCTCAATGTTTTGTAACAAAATTTTGTATTTTTTTTCCACCAAAAGTGTGAAAATGGCTTTGAAGTATTGAGTCTCATAGGCTTCCTAGACCTATTGGTAACAGATGTTATTGGCATGTTTGATTGAATGAGAAGGCAGAGAGGACACTCCTGGGGGTCAGGAGCAAAAGGGAGGGGGTGGGCAGGGTGGGTCTACGAGTTGAGGCGGAGGTTAGCCTCACACAAGAGACAATATTTTGTGAAGTCTCTTCACAAAGGCCAACAGCACCAGCAGAAGCCGGTTACAAATTGTTTTAGTTGCCTCATTTACAAACATCTAATTGTTCATTAAATTGAAGGCAGCATTAGCTCCCACTCCGGTTAGTACTGCATTTTAATTCCACTTGCTGTTTGATGGACTCCCTGCGCCCCCTCCACTCCCCTCCCACCCACCACTGGGTTAACCACCGAGTAACTGTGGAAGGCAACTACACCAAAGCCACTGTTTAAACTCTTTACTGATGTGTGCATCTTTAATAAAACAACCAAAAAATACACAAAGTCATAGTTATTTAAAACACAGGACTTTAAAAAATGGTGTCTATAAAAATACAATGTTTAAGGCAGTTTGGAAATGCATTTATACATTTCTACAATGTCCATAAATTCTCTTAAAAATAACGACGTTACTTCAAATCTGTAAAATACACTGTACATTCTTATGACTGTTCTACCCAGAGCACACTTCAAAACGGGCTTGCAGGAGTGGGTTCCTGGTGACCAATGTGTTCTATACATTTCTTGGATGGGGGTTGATGCAACATTGATGCAGATTTAAAACTTTTAATTTCTTTTTAAAAATAAATTATTTCTGACGCATACAATTTATAAAAATTCTATATACAAAGTACAGCAACTGGTAAGAAACCCCAGTTTTAATACAGTTTATATACGACGTACCAGGGTGGAAAACCCCGATAGGGGCAGAGGCAGTATTCAATCTCTGCATACTCAAACTTAGAATTTCTTGGTGTGAAAAAAAAAAAAAACCTCAAAACAAAACAAAAAAACGACAACAAAACAAACACCACTCAGAGGTTTTCCTAGATGGCAGTACAGAGCTTTAAGATAAAAAGTTGCATTGTTCAACACCATGGTAACTTTCTAGGCCAGGTTTTTGGACCCTTAATTTTAAGACACGTGGTGCTCAGAGATCAGAACTGTGGCAGTGAAACTGGAGGCGGGGGTTAAAGGTTATAATGCAGACATGATTTCGGGGACCCAGACAAGGCAATCGCCAGCTCCATTGGGGTTACTGGCTGCTATACAGAGTACAGGAATGAACCGGCAAGGGACCGCTTCCATTTACTTACGATTGCTGTTTCTCAGTGGCCACAAGCAATTAAAGTCGTTACCAGTACTATACATCCCTTCACAGGAAAACGGTTTAAAAACAAAACAAACCTAATTCCCTCCACATCCCCTCCCCCAGTCCCTTGGAGTTGTGAAGACCTCCACCGTTCAGCAGAACCCAGGCCTCCCTTGCTTTTTGCAGGGTGTCCTGAACTCTGTAGATTCGAGCCGGTAGGATAGGTCAGTCGGTTATTTGCAGCTTCGAAACCGCACAGTGGAGGGCCGGGCATGGTGGCTGGGGTAAATGCTGGGCCCTGTCCACACAGGGAGCGTGCGGGTCAGAGTTCCAGACCATCCCCGGGACCCCCAGCCACAGGTGCCCAGCTCGGGAACCAGCCAGATCGAGTGCACCGGCCTGCAGCAGCCTGCAGCCGGGGCTACAAGTGTGATCCGAGCAGCAGCAACAACAGTAAGCAAACAAGCGGGGTCCAGGCGCCTCGGGTCGCCCAGTGGCCTCCACTGCCGCTGCTGCTGCTCCTGCGCCCGGGCCCGTGGGGCAGATCCCCGCGGCCGCCCGTCCCAGCAGCGCCGCCGCCCGGGCGCGCGAGGCCGTCGTCATCGTCCAAGGGCTGCTCGCCGCCCGCCGTGCCCGCGCGCTGCTCGTCGTCATATTCTTCGTCGTAGTAATCGTCCAGCCCACCGTCCGAGCCACTGCTGCCCGCACCGTTGCCCGCGTCTGGGCCGAAGCACAGACGGGCCATGTTCTCTTTGACCGACTCACAGATGGGCCGCTCCAGCCCATCGCACACGCAGTCGTTGAGCAGCGCCGCCTTGGGCACGGCCAACATGTCCTCGATGACCGCGCGGCACTCGTCGGTGCAGCGCAGCCCGTTGAAAAGTTTGCCGCAGTAGGCCAGGTAGCGGCCGAGCGCCAGGTTGCAGCGGCTGTCGCGATCGCAGCGCCGCCGGGCCTCCGTGCAGCCCATGACCGAGCCCGCTCCCGCGCCTGGGCCCACGCCGCTGGTGCGAGGCAGGCAGGGCTCGATGGCGCGCTTGGTGGACTTGCAGTGTTCGTCCTGCGCGCAGTCGCAGTCCTCCAGCGCGGGCCCGCGGCGCGTGTGGTTGAGCTGGATGAGCGCCGAGATGCAGTGGCTCGGGCAGCGCCAGCGCGGCGAGAAGGACGCGGCCGAAGCGGGGAAGGCGCCGGCGGGCCCCGGAGCGTCAGCCCCGCCGCGCTGCGCCAGCACCGGCGCGCACGCCTCGGCGTACTGGCTGTAGGCGTAGCTGCAGTCGGGCTCGCCCTGGCACTGCAGCAGCGCCTGCCAGCAGATGAGGCGGCGGCCGTGAGCCAGCCCCGAGCCCCGCGGCGCCGAGCCCAGCAGCTGCAGCAGCGCCATAAGGCACAGCAAGGCGCCCGGAGTGGTCCCCTTGCGGGCCCCGCCGCCGCCTAGCAGCGCGGCTAGCATCGCGGGCAGCAGCGGCCGCCGGACGCGGTGCAAAGCGGAGATGAGGCGCGGGCGGCGGCAGCGGGGCCGCTGAAAAAGTTTGTCCGAGTCCCGCGCACTTCTGGCATGGGCGTCCTCATCCATCCATGCTCGCGGCCCGGCGGCTGGTAGAGGCGGGTGTTCGTTCCGGCACCGCGACCGGGGCTCCCTGAGAGGAGCAGCCACGCCGGTCCGGCTCTGGTCGGTCGGCGGCTGGAGGCGCTCAACGCCGCCCCGGAGGGCCGCGGCGAGGCTGCAGGAGCGCGCGGCGCCGGGGGTGCATGGTGCTCGGCGCCTGCAGACGATCGTGCAGCCGGCGACTCCTCCGTCCCCGGCTCAGCGGCGCGTATCACTTCGCAGTTCTCGCATCCCCTTTCCCGCGGCCAGGCCGCCGGGTCCCCTCCCCCTCCGCCCTGGCCTTGGCCACGCTCCGGGAAGCTCTGGGCGCCGGGTGCTAGGAGACCCCGAAACTCGGAGCGTGCTGCTGGGCTTGGGGACCTGGAGCCTGGGGAGCGGATCCGCGGAGCCCGGCTGCAGACTCGCTCGCGGTGAGGCTTTAAATACAAAAATGGGCCTGGAGCCCCCGTGTGGTGCCGCGGCGCCCCCTCATTATGCATGCATAGAAAAGCAAACAAACAAAAACATTAGCAACGCTCCTTCGGCTCGCCGAGCCCCGGCCCCGCGCGCTCCAGGCTTGCCCGCTTTCTCCTTTCTCCACTCTCGGGCGCCCTTTGCTCGGCCCCCTTCCCGGGTTTTGCGCGCTGCTATTGGTCCAGCCTGTTGTTGTTGAAACTTTTTTTTTTTTTTTTTTTTTACGAGCCGCTGGAGTGGGGTTGCAGAGTGGGGGAGGGCGGTGGGCAGCTCACATTCAGGCATTCAGGGCTTGAAAGGAACGGCTTAGGGAGCCTGACACAGGCCCAGCTCCTCCCACTCTTCAGGAGGCTGGGATACCGAACCCCAGCTCGCGCACAGAGCCAGCGGGCAGGGCTTAGGGCCAGCTGCCTGCATCCGGCTCAGCCACCAGCCTTTTTGTTCGCTTCCCCCGCCCCCTTTTTGTTTGGGTGGGGGGCACTTTTATTAATTCTTACTTATCCCCCATCTTTGCATTCGAGAGAGTTCGAAAGTCACTTTAATTTTCAGGCTCCCCGTCTTTGAGTCCTGATTACCTCTGGGAGTATAGCGAAGGGAGGAGGTCCTGAGAATTTAGTGTGAGAGTGTGAGACTTTAGAAACTTAGACACAGATCGCGCTCAGGCACACGCGGACTCTCTCTCTCTCTCTCTCTCTCTCTCTCTCACACACACACACACACACACACACACACACACACGACCACAATCACTACCACCATCACAAGAAAGACGGGCACTTTCCACTAGCTTTTAGTTTCTTAATCGGGCAGGTAAGACCCTTGCCCTGAGCGTCGTTTTCCAGCTGTAAGAAGTCCAAAGAACTGAAATCCATTTCTTAACTCACGATTGTAACACAAACGCAACGACAAATCGTAGCGTTAAACACACGTGGGATGCTGAGCGCTACGACCTGGCTGCACTCACAGCACAGGGGCTGGAGGTAAACCGACCCGCTACGAGCTCTGAAGGGTATATTTCAGTTCTTCAGTGTGTTGAAGCAAAGCTGCCGGCAGAGCTGAACAGGACTCTCGCAAGCTACCTTAACTGTGGCGCAAAGCAGCCTTTGGCCACCAGAGGCACCGCGAGTCTGCGGCCTGTCAAAAACTGGCGCTCTTGGTGAGCCTGTCGATTCCATCTGTCACAAATTTTAAGGTTAAGTCGCTGCCGAAGCAAAGGGTATCCCAGCTGCAGCGCGCTCAGAAAGTGGACTGTCCCCCTCTTCAAAGAGACAGGGTATTTGAAAGGGTAAAAGTGAGGGCCAGAGCCAAGACCCAGGTGGATTAACCTGGCGATTGGAAAAGGCTCACTGCCCAGGCTGGGGAGTTGTGCCTCTGCAGTCGCCTCAAACCATGGGAGAGCCAGACTGAGCTATGCGGAGCCTAGCTATGGTGCTTTGATTTTTGTAGCGGAAAACAAACGCAAATATGTCCTCAAACACTGTCCAGGCATGGTGCAGCAAGGTTATTCATCCCAGGCACAGGCAGGAGGCTCACTGCAAGTTCAAGGCCTGCAGGGTCCATCTGGTCAGGGCCAGGTTAGACACTTGCTAACATCCTGAGCAATCTGTGCTTCCAAGCTCCTCTGAAGGCCAGTCCTGAGATGCATCTTCAAGCGTGTGTTTGTTTCGGCTTCTTTAGAGAGATCTCAAAACAGCCCACAGGACAATCATCTGGAGACCTCGTGTTCAATTCTGGATTCCTGGCTCCTGGAGTCTCAGACAGCTAACCCCCAGGAATGCCTGGAAGTCTACATGTCCAGCAAAATTTAGCGGGGGTACTGTTGCTGTTTAGCTGCTTACTGGGGACATGCTCTGACCGTCTCTGTTCCGGAGGTTATAAAATGGTTCATTTTTACTGCTCAAGTGAAATCTTAGCCTTGATAAAATCTTAGTGGGAGTTAAGGGAGAACAAGATCTCTGCTCGCCCTGAAGGCCTCTCCAGAGACTCAGGGCCTTGTCGTGGAAGGGGAGAGGAGCTGGCCACCACCGCACGCTGTGCTATCGTATGCATAGGCCTTTCTGCACCCCAGGCTCCTACTAGGTAAGAATACCATGTCTGTGAACACTCAGTCCTCCCTCCCTCTCTCCCTCCTCTTCTTGACTTCTCAGTTTTGAATCCCGCTGGCATTTCCCCCCTCCCCAAGGGCGCCAAGGACAGAAGCCTCGCTTCTCCCACTGATGCTGTCCCAGCTGGACTACTGATGGAGCAGGCTGGCCTGACCAACCACCTTCTCCAAGTGCCCACTTGTTTTCTTCTCCTGCTGCCCACCTGACTGCCTGCCCCCTCCATTTTCTCCTTCAATGCTTTCCTGAAGCACGTTATTTTTGTGTTTTATTTGCTTTATGTGTATGAATGTTCTGCCTGCGTGTATGTCTGTGTGCCATGTACACACAGCACCTGTGGAGGCTAGAGAGGGCTTCAGGTGGCTTAGAACTGGAGTTAGAGGGTATTGTGGGCTGCCATGTGGGTCCTGGGAACTGAACTTGGGTCTTCTGCAAGAGCAGCCTGTGCTATTAACTGTTTAAACTTATTTTATGGACTTTCTTTTTTTTTCTCTTGTTCTTTCCATTTCTGTATATGTCTGTGGTGAGCTTGTGCGTGTGCATGTATGTGTGTGTGTTTGTATATGTGTGTTAGTTTGAATGAGAACAGTCACTATAGGCTCATATATTTGAACTGTAGTTCCCTAGATGATGGAACTGTTTGGGAAGGACTAGGACTGTGTCCTTAGAACAGGTGTGTCACTGGGAGCGGGCTTGGAGGTTTCAAAACCCACACAGGGTCCTGTCTTGCTCCCTGTCACCTGGTTGCTGTCAGCTCTCAGTGACTGCTCCAGGACCATGCCAGCCTGCATGCTGCCACAGACACTAAATGATGGGCATGGTCTCACTCTCTGAAACTGTAAGCAAGCCCCGCCACCCCCCAAATCAATGCTTTCTTTTGCAAGTTGCCTTGGTCACGGTGTCTCTTCACAGCAATAGGAAAGTGACTAAGGCGGTGGATATACCTGTACATGTATGCACACGCATGTAGAAGCACCAGCTTGGTATCTGAAATCATTCTCATGGGCTCTCCCACCTTATTCCCTGAGGCGGGTCTCTCAATCAAACCCAGAGCCTGAGGATATGCATAATCTTGGTCCCTAGCTTTCTCTGAGGATCCCCTGTGTCTTAATTATTGTTCTACTGCTGTGATAAAACACCATGACTAAGGTAACTTGTAAAATGAAGCATTTGATTGGGGGCTTGCTTCCAGTTTCAGAGGATTAGTCCATGATCATCATGGTGGGAAGTATGGTGGCAGGCAGGCAGGCATGGTGCTAAGAGCTCACATCACACACACACACACACACACACAAAGAGACAGAGAGAGGAAGGGAGGGAGGGAGGGAGGGGAGGGGGAGAAAGAGAGGGAGGGAGGAAGAGAGAGAGAGAGAGAGAGAGAGAGAGAACCTAGTGTCACACTGCCAACAAGGCCACAACTCCTAGTTCTTCCCAAACAGTTCCACTAGGACTAGGCACTCAAACAGGGGAGCCTATGGAGGCCATTCTTATTCAAAACACCATTGTCTTTTTTGTCGCTGTCTTCTGGGGGTGGAATTACAGGAAAGTCCACCCTGGATTTATGGGTTCTGGGAATCCAAACTCCTGTTCTCATGCTTACATGGCAAGTGCTTTAACTACTGAGCTGTTTCCCAAGCCCCTCCTCTGTTGTGGGATATTTGTACACTGTGTGATGATGCATTGCTGTGATTGGTTTGATAAAGAGCTGAAGGCCAATAGATAATCAGAATGGGATAGGTGGGATTTATGTGGAGAGAGAGGAAGAGGAAGAGGAACCAGGAAGCACAGAATTCACTAGCGAGATTCAGGGAGAGCAGGATGTGCAGGAGGGAGATGACCTAGAGAGCCACATGGCAGAACACAGATTTAAAATGTGGGTTAATCAAGTTATGAGAGCTAGTTTGATGTGGGATTCCCCTCTGTATGTTGTGAATATGTTTTATCAGCACTGGTTAATAAAGAAGCTGTTTCGGCCGATGGCTTAGCAGAGTAAGGAGGGAAATCCAAACAGAGATATAGAGATCCAGTAGGTGTAGTCAAGGAGATGCTATGTAGCTACCTACCAAAGGAGAAAGACACCAGTGAGAACCTTACTGGGTAGGCCACAGCCTCATGGTGATACACAGATTTATAGAAATAGGTTAATTCAAGATGTAAGAGCTAGCTAGAGATATGCCTGAATCACTGCTGAACAGTGTTGTAATTAATAGAGTTTCTGTGTGATTATCGGGTCTGAGTGGCTGGGAAATGAACAATCAGTCTCAGCCTACACTAGTTGGGAACAAGCCTATGCTAAAGGCCAAACTTTCATAATTAATAACACGTCTCTGTGTCATTGTTTGCATGCTGGTGTCCTGATGAGAAAGCTCTGCTAGAGTCCTCTTTATTTCTCAGAGGCCTGTGGATAGTCTCCGACATGGGTGGCCATCAGCTTTTATCCCTCCATTCCTAGCACTGACACCAGATAAAGACCGGCATCGGTTTCCCTTTCCTGAGAATCTTGGGCAGGTGTTGTGTGATATTTGATTGTGCTGTGAATCTCCAAGAATGTGTTAATTGATTTAACCTTGGATGGGGCAGAGCTAGTAACTACTTGACAGAAGTTAGCTATAGATAAAATGGAAGAGCCAGGAATTCAGACGGGGAGAAACACACAGTAAGGAGTAGGGAGGGACTTAGTGATTAGAGATCTCTTCAGTTTTGCACAGCGTGGTGAGATATCTCTGGCCAAGAAGGAAGATCAGCTGGTTGTTTCTCGGTTTCTCTGATCTAGCAGGTTTTCACCCCAACATCTGACTCCCGAATCTTTATTGATAAATAGAACAACTTAGATAAAAACAACAAGCAGGCTTTTCTGACATTGACTAATGGAACATGGCAGAAGTAACTGTCTCTGGTGCTTTCAAGGTAAGGTCACAGGAAACTCTGTGGAACCTGCCTGAGTGTCTTGCGGTGTTTGCTCTGGAGAAGTCATTTACCACATAAATAAGAAATAGGGTCACTG